AGAGATTTTCTCAAAGCTTAGACGTGAGGTGTCGCGCCTGGTTACACCGACTAATCATTCGTGGAAGGGAGTTAAAGCAGCCAGCTCACGTGGTATGAGGGAGACAGGTTCAACTGTGAGGGAGGATCCAATGACGAGAATGAGATCGGCGTGGTGGACATCCTCTTCGAGGTATGTGTGGAACTCGTAAGGAAGACCCTCACCGAAGAACACAATGTTCGGCTTCATTAAGCCGGAGGATGTCGACGCCGCGGGACTGGTCGTGGGGGTGGTTTGCACGGGTGAGCCACTCAGGCCCTGGTCGGGACAGCATCGAGGACAGCGGGGAACACGCTGGCTCATTATTGCTTCACGAACAGCCTCACCTGGTACCTGGTACTGACAAGATTCACAGCTTGCCGTAGCGAAGGATCCTTAAAGGCAAACCACAGAACATCCAATGGCAATGCGATTTGAAGATGTTCGTGGAAAATGAGGACTGAAGGGAGCAATTATCTGGTGCAACTCATTTACACTGTAATACCACATTTTGTAGCAACAAATACGGGTTTAGGTAATTAAGGTTCGAACGAAACAACAGCATTATACATGAGAATACATTTGAGACGTTGGATTTGACCCAGTACCTCTGGTGATAACTGCAAATATATGCTTGACAGGATCCTGTGAGATAGGTGGTTGATGTAGCAGTGAAAAGGCAATAGGCCTTACCATGACACTGAATGACCCACGTGATTCCAGCGGCCTGTTCCAGCGCATCGATATTTTGTGTGTAGTTGCGAAGAAGTTTGCCCTTCCTTTCCAGTAACTTGATGAATCGATGCTCAAACGAGGGCTTGAACTGACCGGGGAATAGTTCCTACATGGGCATAGCATGAACTGCATTAGTCTTGAAAACTGAACCATGGCTATAAATGGGACAAAAGTAGCTAAGCCGACACAAGCATGCTGATACCGATTACGATTGTAAGGAACCTCAACACTCACGCACAACGGTAGTGCAAGGATGTTCCAGTGGTAAATGGAAATTTGAGCGGTAGTGAGCAATAACGCGCATGATTGAAATACATTACTAGACAAGCAATTGCACTTACTCGTGCAAATTTGAAGAAGGGGTAAGGATTCCCCTTCATGAAGAATTCCATGTCAAACATGTCTTGGGGGCTTTTCAAATCAGGATAATCTCTTGCAAGTCGTGCCTGCACCCCATCTCGGGATCTGAAGTCTGGAATTCCACAGGAGACAGAGATGCCGGCTCCAGTGTGAACATGAATACGAGAGCGGTCACGCAAGAGTTTCACAACCGAGTCTAAGGTCGCGAATTGCACTAGTCGCCGACGATGAGGTCGTTCTGATAAGACGGAGAAGAGAATGCCCCAAAGACTAGCAGAATCTGAAGGCAGGATAGGGGGACTCATACCAAAGATGCGGGTTAAGAGAAATCGAGGG